ATGCGGTGAGATAAGTTAGTCTTGATTCGTGTGGCTAGTAATGGAACTAATAGAAGCCATGCGGTGTGATAAGGTGTGCTAAAACGCGAGATGCTCTTTCAGAAAATGATTTTCAAAACTAAATTTAAAGGCTCCCGCGGTGATATAAGGAAAGATTGTGATTTATTTTATGATTTGAGACGGCAAGGTGGTACCTCGGTAGTGGCTCGTGTTGCAATTTCCAATTCTTTTGTACTTGTGTTTGATTGTTTTTCCCCTTGCATACTATTAATTGTCTTCCTCCCCGTTGCATTATTTGCTTAGTTTTCCGTAGATAATCTTGTTTTACAATTCGTTGTTTCAATTTTATTGCCATCTTTATTACATTATACATTTTGTGGTGATCATTTTTCATGTGCCATTAGTTGTCTATGCTCTTAGTTGTTGACTTGAATTATTGTAGAACACTTGCACAAGCATACACGTAAATAAACAATCCAAATCGGTCTAAGAAGATGAATCCTGATGTTTTGACCATTTACATGTACTCTCATGTACTTGCCTTATGTATGAGAGTTATCTTATTGGCACGTGAGAGGTCCGCATAGATATTAGATATTGTCACTCCCTTGGCATGTGAGTCATCCATGCTGTTATGAATTATAATATGGGCACAAGATGCCAAGTGATTAAGGTTCATGAATTGGGTCCCGTGATTTGTGATTATGAGGTTTGGTACCACGTGAAAATTCTTGGATAAACTTGGTGAGAAAGAATTGTCCCTACTGATTTTTCACTTTTTCCTTTATTTGGTTTCACTGGAATTGAACTGTGTTCATCTTACTCTACAATGTTATTACCTGTTATGTCTCGTTATTAACTGTTGCTTTTAGTCCCTATTGCAAACATTGTATTATTATTGTCATCATGCCTAGTTTTATATTGATATTGTTCCTTATTAGTTCTACATTTAAACTTGTTAAGTTTTTTTTAGTCCAGTGGGTGTCTTGACTTTTCTCATCTCTGCTCCACCGAGGTTAGTCTTGCTACTTACAGGGTACCATTATGGTGTACTTATACTACGCTTCTGCATATTTTCTTGTGCAGACCCAGGTGCCTCAGATATTGTTGATTATTAGCTAGTTGGTCAAGCTTGATGTGGAGACTCAAGGTAAACTTGTTGTCGCGTTCGCATGCCTCAAAGTCACCTTCTAATATTAGACTTGTACTATTTAACTCTATTCCGAACAGTTTTATTTAGGTATTTTCTAGCAAACTCAGTAGAGCTTATGACTTGTACTATCGATTTTGGGCTTGTGAGCTTTGTAAAGAAAATTTATGTTCATGTTTAATAGTTTTTGGTTGAGTTTTCCATTAATTCAGTAAGTGTTAGGCTTACCTAGTGATCGGGTCCAACCCTACTCCACTATAGAGTGGCAAGAGCGATCGATGCAGCTTTTACCCGAGAAGGTCGGGATCGAATCCACATGGAGCTAATATAAAGTTTGGAGTTCGATTCCTACCTAATCTAGCAATGTGTAGTGCTCTTGATTGCACTTCCAATCAATTGGGACTAACAATTACCCTCAACTCAAATGCATTATCAACAATACAAAACCTTTTAGCACCATGGCTATACAAAATGCATTAGCAACAATACAAAAGCATCAAGAGTTGACTCAACTCATCAAGAAAACTCTTTCTATTACATTGGTCGCTGTGGAACCCAAACTTATACTTAACTCTCCATAAGCAAACCTCACTTTTAGATTGTAGCACTCAAAACGAGGATTATAGAAAACACACTCAACTCTCTCAAAGGAAGGTCACCTGTCCGGCTCTAAGTACCATAAGTTTGCCACTTATGTCAGTCACCACTAATGTAAGCTCACTCAACTCAAGATCATATATGGCCTTTTTGGGAATGTAATGAAGGCTTTTGGTTCAGGGTAGTATATATTGGTCTAAGAAGGTTTCATCTTCCCTTAAACACTTCATTTGCTTCATTTTGGCACACATTTTCTTGATTCTTTTAGTCATTAACTTCTTCTTCATGGGTTAGAGAGACATACTATCACGCTTTGTTGTTCATTTCAATCCTTTTTCTTCTTCTAATATATACATGCCTTTCATCTTTTGCTTTTATTGAATCCCTTCATTTCCTTTACATTGTTCACTTTCTTTTTTACTTTTTGGCTTTTCTTTCTTTTTCTTTTTGCCTTTCCTTTTCTTTATTTTGTACCTTTTATCACTTTGGCACGGGACTTGCTTGCAAATCAATACCTCACCATACAAGCTATAGGATTGCTAAAGAAATAGAGTCGGGAACCCACAAAAGACTTAGCTACGATTTGAGCAATACAAATGGTTCTGAGAAACCACTCGATGATTGTTTAGCCAACACAAGTGTCTCATGGTCACAACTATCACCATCCTATACACACCAATTTGTTTTTAACCATAAGATAAAAGGTAAATGTGTTAGACCCAAGTGAATCTTTACTTGAGGCACCGTTTCTCACTAACTACTATTTAAACAAAAAATGAAAAGAAAATAGACTCAAATCTTTAAGAAGGTTGTCATGCCATCCATCATCAAGAAGAGCCACCCGGTTCACACAAACTCCACCTTTGGAGAGAACCGTGGCCTTAAGAAAACCAAAGGTTTATTGATCACATAAAATTTTAAAATAAGAAGCTACGAACTGTAAAAGAAGCTATTAAATGAAATAAGAAGCTATACTATTAAGGAAAGTTGCAAAAGAAACTATAAAATAAAATGCGAAAAGTAAACTGAATATGTACAATAGGGTTTAGATGAATATACATAAGAGGGAATGAATATATACATGGGAGAGAGAGTAACTTTATATACATACCAAGATCAAAAAATAACAAAAAGTGAAATAAAAGGTAAAGTTATATACATATCAAAAATGAAAATAAGCAGAAAGAAAGAAAATAGTGTCATAATTACAAACCAAATCATCAAAGTATTAAAGAAGGGCTACCCCCTCAAATGAAAGCTAGCATTGTCCTTATTGCTAACTAACCAAAAATATGCTCAAAAAGAAAGATAGAGAGTGAAGAAAACTCCCTATAGATCCTCCGTCTACATGGGGTCCTATGGTAGCATGGGGTCCTATGACTGGATGGGGTCCTGTGGCTGGGCACCTGGATCATATGTCTCTGGGGCCTGTGGCTGGTCAGAAGCAACACCCTCCGTCTCCTCAAGCTCAATCTCTACATCATCCACCTGGGGCATCACTTTCCTCCTCTTTGGGGCTCTCTCAATCCCCTGCTCTGGAACCTGCTCTGTCTGAGCTACTGGAGGCTAATCATGCAATAGTAGCTCCAAAGGCAAGTGGTCAGCTGCCTTCATCTTCTCCCCTTCACCCCTCAATTCCTTAACCGACTCTTTCAGGGCCCGAGTCTTCTTTAGCTTCTTTGTGTTCTTGCTCAGCTCCTGAAGTGATTTTCCTTGATTTGATAGGGCCTCCATTATAAGCTTTTGGTTCTATAGGAGCTTCGTCTGGTTTTCTAGAAGCTCCTTGAGAGACTCCTCTACCGAAGTAGACACTTATGGCTGTAGGGGTACTAACTGGGCTGCCACTAAACTAGTTAGCACAGACAACTTAAAAGTTATTGCCTGCATCCAGTTGTTGATACTGGAGAGTGTTTGGCTCAATATGTGGGCAGTCAATGGGTATGCTGAGGAGGATAGAATATCTGGAGGCAAGGAGGTAGATAGCCCGGAGGCAGGATCTGGTACGACAGTGGAAGGCTGAGAAGTAGTTTACCACTACTAGCTCTTCAGATTGGCCAGTAGAAGTAATGGCTTTGCCCTTGGATTCCTTGGCTTTGGGGTTGTCTGGACCCTTGAGGCTGTACCATGAAAAGGGCATCTTGGGTTTCACCTTCACGTCAAAGTTTCTTTTCTCCAGCTCTTGATCTTCCAAATAAATTGTAATGAAGTTCGGGAAGGGGTATGATCTATCACACTCATTGACCACCCTGGTGATCACCCTAGACATGAGATTCCTAACATTGATCGGGAACCCCGCCATAATAACCACCACTAATATCGCCCGGGAGACTGGCATGGTGTTTTTATGGGTAGTGGGGTTTAGCCTGATGCATACAAAAGTCTCCTACCCCTTCACTTCAAAGTTTAGGGTTTTCCTCAAGATAGGAATCCCTGTTGTCAACCATGCTGGGGTGGTGTCCGGGATAGCCAGGTATGATGCCAACCACGGGTGGGATGCCTCATCAAGCGCCACATTCTCCAAGTACAATGTTTCAACTTTTGTCATTGAAGCCCAGGTATTCATTGATTGTCTTCCCGTCAAACTTCACATTCAAGTTCCGCATCTTAGTCACATTTGTATCCTTCTTGATGTGGGAGGTGTTGGCGTAGAACTCCTTGACTAAGTGCTCATTTGCATCTAACACCATGCTAGTAAAATAATCCTACCCTACTTGTTCATTGAAGTGCTGTTTCACATTGGGGTTGTGAGGCAGGAGATCCCTCTCTACGAACTGGCGCTCATGAATAAATGACCTTAGAGGCTACCACTCCCAGAACTTGTGATAGGCCAGCTCACAAACGAACCACTTTTGCCACACCTCGGGGTTTCTAGTTCTTTCCACACCCCCGGTTTGGGTCACACCCCCTCCCTCTTCATCCAGTACCCCAATATCTACATCCTGTCCAGGTGACGAAGGTGTAGGTAAGATTGAAGCTGAACTATCACTACTCTCTGCTAAGCCCTCAGACGACTCAGAAGAAATATGAACTGAAGCACGAGCAGTAGGAGAGTCTAGAGGTGTAGGTACATCTCTCAACCTATGTCTCTCCGGGAAGTCAGGTACATACTCTAGCACTGAATCAGAATCTAATGCCTCACGGGAGGGCACATACTCATTTCCCTCTAAATGGAAAGTAGCTCTATCTGCAGCGTTGTTGTTCTTTCTCATCTCCCAATTGCTTTCCGAACTGCTAGGGTCAACTTTATTTTTCCTCATCCTTTACCCCGGGAGGGCTCTGCTCTACCCTTTTGTTTATCACCACCGCCTCCTCTAGATTTAACCATTGTCTGCAAGTACAATCAATTGAAAATTGTTAGTGCAAATACTAGAAGAAGCAGTGCGAAAAAGAAATTGTCAGTGCAAGAACAAAACAGCAAACTGCGGATCGCGAAAAAGGGATTACGGTCGCAAAGGATACACTACGGACCGCGGAAAATGCATCGCGGCCGCAAAGGTGTGGGACTCAAACTACCCACTCTCTGATTCAATAGCACCACGAACTGCAGAAAAAGGAGCGCGGCCATGGTAAGGACGGCGAAAAATCAACCACGACTGCAAACCCTCTAGTGTAACTCTCTGAAATCATCGCGGACCGCGGAAAACCCATCATGGCCGTGGAGAGGCACCACTGTCAGAGGAAGTTGCCACCACTGATCGCGGTTATCAGGACTTATCATTCCAATATCAAACAAATGACCGTGGACCACGGAAAATCAACCGCGGGCGCGGTAGTCAAATTATGGCTCAGCGGACCTAGGGTTTATAGTTTTCATGCATTTTAGCATCAACAACACATTATCAATCCCACTAAGTAGTTAATAACCATTTCTAACTAATTGAAACCTAATCTAATTGACAATATGGAACCCTAAGTCAAAATTAAAAGAAAAAGGAAGAAGAAGAAGTAAGAACTATCAATTTAAAAGAAAATAAGAATAAAATTAAAGACTAAGGATTGATTGGAATTACCAGATGTGAAATGTGAGACAAATGAAATTCAGCTCTTGTGTTTGTGAAAAATTAGGGCATGGGTGAACAATGTTCTATGTTGTTTGAGAGTAAACTGATCGAAAAGTGTAAAAGGCTTAATGACCTCCTATTTATTGAAATTACCTAGGGCCACACAGTCTTACCTACCGCAGCCGCGGTAAATCACTGCAGACCGCGGTTGTGAATTTAGAAGGGTTGCAGTGTTGAGACCACCGCGGACCGCAAAAATGCTTCGCGACAGCTATAAGCCACCACTGAACACCAAAACTGTACCGAGGCACCGGTTGAAATGTCATAGAACCCCCAATTTGGACCTTTTAGCACCGTTAACCGCAATCAAATTCCTCGTCCACGGTAAGGCCACCGCGACTGCGAAAAATGGAGCGCGACAGCGGTCCAAACTTTAGAGAGTGTCAAATTTTTCCAGCTTAGTCTTGCACTACATCAAACATCACTACACATATCTCACAACTAGTTATTCCAAAAATAAATCTTACACTAAGAAGAAAATCAAAAAAGAAAGAAGAAAAACACATGGGTAGCCTCCCAAGAAGCGCCTGATTTAATATCACAGCACGATGCAGGTTACCATTAATCACTTGAGATGGATCATTGCCACCACGTGACTATCATCAAATTTACCAAGATAGTGCTTGACTCTGTGTCCATTAACTCTGAAGATCTCACAATTTTTATTTTTCAAATCAAGAGAACCAAACGGAGTCGCAAGCAGCACCTCAAAAGGTCCACTCCATTTTGACTTAAGCTTTACCAAAAACAGTCGTAATTAGAGTAGAACAAAAGAACCAAATCACCCACTTTGAACTCCTTGCCACAAGCATACTTGTCATGAAGGTACTTTATCTTGTCCTTATACAAGGACGAACTGGAGTAGGCATGAAACTGGAACTCATCAAGCTCATTAAGCTGCTCCACCCGAAGATTTGTTGCCACATCCCATTCATGATTTAACTTCCTCAAAACCCACATGGCCTTGTGCTCTAACTCAATCAGTAGACGTCATGCTTTCCCAAACACCAACCGGTACGGAGACATACCAATCGGAGTCTTGTAAGCCCACAAAGCATCATCAAATTTCTTTGACGAATCCGTTCTATTTGCATTAACCATCTTTGACAATATACTCTTGATCTCCCTATTGGAGACCTCAACTTGCCCACTAGCTTGAGGATGGTAAGGGGTAGAAACCTTGTAATTGACACCATACTTTGCAAGAAAAGTGTCAAATACCTTATTGCAAAAATGAAACTCTCCATCACTAATGATTGCTCTAGGAGTGCCAAACTGAGTAAAGATACTCTTCTTGAGAAACGCCTCAACACTCCGGCCTCATTTTTGGGTAAATCCACGGCCTCAACCAACTTTGAAACATAATCAATGGCCACAAGAATGTATGTGTTGCCACAAGAACTTACAAACAGACCATGAAATCAATGCCCCACACATCGAATATGTCAACCTCAAGAATGGTGGTGAGAGGCATCTCACCCTTCTTTGAAATTCCACCCGCTCTTTTACATTCATCACATTTCTTCACAAGTTCACTTGCATCCTTGTACAATGTAGGCCAATAAAAACAACAACTAAGCACTTTTGAAGTTGTCCTCGCCCCACCAAGATAGCCACCATAGGGAGAGGAATGACAAGCATTCAAAATACTCATTTGCTCCTCCTCCAGAACACATCTCCAGATCATACCATCATTGCTTATTTTGAACAAGTAAGGCTCATCCCAGTAGTAGTCCAAGCTATCCCGTTTATGCTTCTTCTTTTGGTTAGAAGAGATCTCTTATGGAACAAAAATGGTTACAAGGAAATTGGCAACATCTGCAAACTAAGGCATGCTATTCACAGACACAGAGAGGAGTTGCTTATCAGGGAAAGAATCATTAATTTCGAGGCAATCACGGGGCCTCCCCTCCTCCTCCAAGCGGGAAAAGTGGTTCACAACTTAGTTTCCACACCCTTTTCGATCCACAATCTCAATATCAAACTCTTGAAGCAATAAGACCCATCTCATCAACCGAGCTTTGGAGTCCTTCCTCATCATCAAGTAGCGAAGTGCTGCATGGTTGGTAAGAACTATCACCTTGGCACCCATGAGATAGGGTCTAAACTTCTCCATTGCGAACACAATTGCTAACAACTCTTTTTCCGTCACTGTGTAATTCACTTGAGCATCATTCATTATTTTGCTTGAATAATACACTAGGTGAAACATCTTGTTTACTCTTTGACCGAAGACTGCTCCTACAACAATATCGCTTGCATCACACATGATCTCAAAAGGTAAGCTCCAATTGGGTGCGGTAATAATGGGAGTGGTTGTCAATTTGTACTTGAGGAGTTCAAACGCTTTCATACATTCTTCATTGAACACAAACTTGGCATCCTTTTACAATAACTTTCACAAAGGATTCACTACCTTAGAAAAGTCTTTGATGAAACTTTGGTAGAATCTCGCATGCCCAAGAAAACTCCTAACCCACTTGACTGAAGTAGGCGGAGGAAGCTTTGATATCACTTCAATTTTAGCCTTGTCCATATCTATGACGTGTTTTGAGATCTTATGGCCGATGATAATGCCCTCATCGACCATAAAGTGGCATTTTTTCAAATTAAGCACAAGATTGGTTTCTTCATACCAGGCCAACACCTTGTCAAGATTATTCAAACATTCATCAACCAAGTCACCCACAACACTAAAGTCATCCATGAACACCTCCAAAATGTCCTCCACTATGTCGGTAAATATGGCCATCATACAGATGGAATGTAGCCCGTGCATTACACAACCCAAATGGCATCCTAAAAAAGGCAAAAGTGCAATACAGATATGTGAAGGTGGTTTTCTCCTGATCTTCCGGGGCAATCAATTTCTGGTTGTAACATGAGTACACATCCAAAAAACAGTAGAAGGCATGCCCAACAAGTCTATCTAGCATCTGGTCAAGAAAGGACAAGGGAAAGTGATCCTTGCGGGTCACCTTATTCAGCTTGTGGTAATCTATGCACACCCTCCATCTGGTGATAGTCTTGGTAGGAATCAACTCATTTTGTATATTGGTAACCACAGTCATACCACCCTTCTTCGGCACACATTGCACTGGCGAAGTCCAAGAACTATCTGAGATGGGGTACACAATCCTTGATTCCAACCACTTAATCGCCTCCTTTTTGACAACCTCTTGCATAGGTCCATTCAACCTCCTTTGATATTCCACATAGGGCTTAGCATCATCCCCAAGAATAATCTTGTGCATGCAAAAGGCGGGGCTTATCCCCCGGATATCACCTAGAGTCCATCCAATTGCCTTCTTCCATTTTTGGAGCACCGCCAATGTGGCATCTACCTGCATGTTAGTAAGACAAGAGGAAAGAATAACTGGCAAAGTTGAACTAGGGCCTAAGAATTTATACCTGAGGAATGGAGGCAAATGCTTCAAATCCAACATGGGAGGTTCCTCGATTGAGGGATTTGTTGGTGGATTCTTTCTATTCTCAATATCCAAAGAGAACTTTCAAGGCTCATAAGAGTAAGAGCCCATTCCATGCAAAGCATTGACACACTCCACCCGACCATCATCTTCATTTACATCAAGCTTCAACAACACCACTTCTAGAGGATCCTCCACATTGATCATGCACTAGTATCATCAACTATCACTTCCATGAAAAGTTCCACGAAAGAGCACACTTCAGTACTATTTGGCTGCTTCATTGATTTGGACACATAAAAGACCACTTTTTCATCACCACCCAGAAGGTGTGCTCCCCGGCTTCCACATCAACTAAGGCCTTCCTAGTTGCAAAGAAAGGTCTTCCCAATATGATTGAAACCTCATAATTAACCTTGCAGTCCATGATCACAAAGTCAGCAAGAAAAATGAACTTGTCCACCTGAATAATAACATCATCTATAATACCAAGCGGCCTTTTCATTGTTCTATCCGCCATTTGCAACCTCATTGAAGTAGCCCTCGATTGACATATACCCAAAGTTTTGAACACGAAGTAAGACATCAAATTGATAATTGCACCCAAATAGCACAATGCCTTTGCAAAATCCGCGCTCCCAATGATACACAGGATGGTGAAAGTGCCGGGATCTTCAAGCTTTGGAGCCATCGAGTGCACAATTGCACTTATCTGATGAGTCATTTTGGTGGTCTCACAATCCATGGATCTCATTTAGTCACCAAGTCTTTCATGAACTTGGCGTAACCCAGCATTTGCTCAAGAGCTTCCACCAAAGGGACATTAATTGATAAGCTCTTCATCATGTCAATAAATTTTCTAATTGGTTCTCATTCTTTTGTTTTGCATGCCGTTGGGGGTAATGTGGAGGAGGCCTTGTCAAGGTAGCCTTAGCCTTGGGCACTACCATTTTTAATATGTCTATTATGTGTTCCCTATACGGGTTCACGTCATCTTGGGTCTCCACCACATCATCATGAACATCAATCCTCATATCCGCATTCACATTCTCTTTTCTCACTTGCTCATCAACTAAAAGAACATTATAATCTTGTAATTGAATCTCATCACTCACAATTTCCTTTTGCTTGGAGGTATTCACATCACCACATCGACCCGTTCTAGTAATCACCGACATTGCATGCCTGGTGTTGTTCCCACCCTTCGCCTTTACTAACGTATTACTAGGTAGAGCCCTCTTAGGGCAAGTATTCAAAGACTGTGAAATCTGGCCATGTTGAACCTCTAAATTCTGGATTGAAGTATTGTGCGATGCTAACTGGGCATGAGAATCGACATAATTGCCTTGTTTGTTTTGATTCTCCCAATTTCATTGGTATCTACACTATTGTTGTTAGTTAGGAGCATTGCCCCTTTGGCCTTGGTAATTGTTCACGTACTACACTTCTTCATTTTGCTCATCCTAGCCCTCATCTTAATTGAAACCACCACTACCTTGGTCATATTGATCCGGACTACCTTGACCTTGTTGAACTCTTTGTCGCCTCTTGTTGACCAACATGTTGACACCTTCCATAGCATTTACTTGTCTAAGAGCTTGAACTTGTTGCAATTGAGCTTTTGCCAACTGGTTCATTGTGGTAGTTAACTCTGCTATTGCATGGCCATGATCATGGAGCTCTTTGTGCAAGTGGATGACAGTGGAGTCACCCTATGGCACATTGGCTCGAATTTGCCAAGCTGAGGATGTATCTGCCATCTCATCCAATATCTCACACGCCTGATCATAAGGTGTGTTCATAAAAATCCCCCTGCTAGCTGGTTCACTACACACTAATTGATTGTGTTAATGCCACAATAGAATGTCTGCTGAATCATTGCTTCAGTTATGTTGTTGTTCGGACATTCTTTCACCATTGTCCGATATCTCTCCCAGATCTCATGAAGTGGTTCATTAGGTTCCTGTTTGAAGGCCAAATGTCATTTCTCAAAGTCTCCATATGCTCCGGCGAGAAAAACATGGCTATAAACTTGTCCGCCAACTCATCTCACGTAGTGATGGAATGGTTAAGAAGCTTTTCTAGCCAGTACAAAGCTTTTCCTCTAAGTGAGAAAGGGAACAATCTCAACCGAAGTGCATCCTCTAACACATTTGTTTGCTTGCTTCCCAAACAGGTATCCACAAAGCCTTTTAAAATTTTTATAAGCATTCTGATAGAGAGCACCTATGAAATACCCTCGCTGCTCCAACAAAGTCAACATCACATTTGTAATTTGGAAATTGCTCGCCCAGATACGGGGTGGGACAACTGCACTAGCATATCCTTAATTTGGAAGCACCCGAGGAACCGCTCTTGGAGGTGGCGGGGGAGGTTATGTAACATTATCATTGTCCTTGCGGCCTCTCCTTTGAACTTGAGGCACTATAGGTACCTCATCATCAATATTATCATCAACCCCCTCCCTCGGAATAGTCTTTCCAAGAGGGTCATTGTTCGCCATTTTTACCTAAATTGGCGACACACACAAATTAGAATCACAGAAGGAAAGAAACAAAATACACAAAACTATTTAGATAGATAACCAAAACTGTTAGCTCCCAAGCAACGACACCAAAAAGTGATCGGGTCAACCCTACACCACTATATAGTGGCAAGAGCGGTCGATGCAGCTTTTACCCGAGAAGGTCGGGATCGAATCCACAGGGAGCTAATATAATTTTTGGAGTTGGATTCCTGCCTAATATAGCAATGTATAGTGTTCTTGATTGCTCTTCTAATCAGTTTTTTGTTTGTTTTATATTTCTAATATTATACTAATGATGCACGAAATTAAGCTAAGTAGATAGATTTGTAGGATTTTCTAAATGGGTAAAGAGGCACTAGGGAAGTGACATACTCCTAGGTGAGTATCTAACGGGATCTAGAACTTAGGGCAATAATATTATAGTTGGAATCGTGATATAACCAGTGCACGAAGCTGCTCCCTCTACAACTCTCGGTAGTAAGAGTGACTTTTCCCTAATTGACTTTCTCAAGCCCAATTGGGTGTTCAATTTTTGCAAGCAATGTTGGCTCAAGTCGGGTATTACTATCTCTAGATTTAACACTTTAATTGGGTCTATCAATCTCTTAAATACACCCTAATTCCTTGTTGGCCTGAATTTCCTGTACTTAAGCTCTCTTTCTCAAGAAGAGCCTAAGTCAAAAAGGCACAAATTAGTGTTTGCAACCACTAATTCAACATAGAAAGCATAAATCGGGCCAAATATCAATCACCCATACACATCTAAGCCCTAAAATAAGAGACCTATTAAATACCTACACCAGGGTTGAGCCACAACCCTAGCTAATAGGTTTGGCTACTCATAATTGAAGAAGAAATCATAGATTGAGATGAAGAATAATCTATAAATTGTAATTACAAGATAAGAGTCTAAGATTAATTGCTAAATAAGCTACAAAATTAATCAAAATAGACAAAAGTTGGCATTCACGTGCTCAGCTAACATAAGAAGACCTAAAAATCTAAAAAAATAGCATTTATACAAAGCTAAATTTTCCAGACAAAAATGCCCTTGANCATTTATACAAAGCTAAATTTTCCGGACAAAAATGCCCTTGACAGAGGTACCGCTGACAGCGGAAAATGGACCGCTACAGTAGTGAGGCTACCACGACCGCGTAAAATCAACCCCGGACCGTGGTCTTCTAGTTTTAGCTTCAACTTTGGCTCTCTGAATCTCTTCTACATGTACTGTGGTAAAAGGACCGCTGTCACGGTATGGGTACCATGGTCACATAAAATCGTTGCGGACCGTGATAACTTGTAATTCCGGAAAATGCATCTCCCTGAACCTTGCCACCATGGACCATGGTCGCGGTGGGTCTTCTGCGTCGGCAGTGGATTTTCCGTTGTAGCGCTGCTTTGACTTGGCTTTGAACTTGTGCAGGTTCACAATTTTTTTAGTTGGTTATGACATCCTTGGCTCTTCTTGACCAAACACAACAAACAAGCACAACAAGTTAACTTTTGGGAATACTTGTACACATTTTTAATCCAAAATTCAAGCAAAAAGGAGCATAAAATAGACTAGAATCCCTAGTTATGACCTAGTCCCTAAGACTAGGTGTCATCATGACATCCTACAAAGGGAAATTTGGGTCATGACAGCAGTTGTACCTTTACTTAGCAGTGCCCGAGGTAGGGAAAAGTGGTGTTCTGGTTCGGGAAGAAGAATGTATAAAATTTCCTATATATTATGTTAGTATAACCTTAGGTGATGCCAAAAAAAGTTATCCAGACCTAGAAAAATTTGCATTTGCCTTACTAAGCGCATCTAGGAAACTAAAACCATATTTTCAATGTCACCCTATATGTGACATAACCTTGTACTCATTAAGGAATGTCATGCATAAACCAGAACTCTTAGACTGGCTAGCAAAATGGGACGTAGTGATTAGTGGGAACAATATTGAATACAAACCAAGAACAACTATAANAGGTAGGGAAAAGTGGTGTTCTGGTTCGGGAAGAAGAATGTATAAAATTTCCTATATATTATGTTAGTATAACCTTAGGTGATGCCAAAAAAAGTTATCCAGACCTAGAAAAATTTGCATTTGCCTTACTAAGCGCATCTAGGAAACTAAAACCATATTTTCAATGTCACCCTATATGTGACATAACCTTGTACTCATTAAGGAATGTCATGCATAAACCAGAACTCTTAGACTGGCTAGCAAAATGGGACGTAGTGATTAGTGGGAACAATATTGAATACAAACCAAGAATAACTATAATGTCCCAGATATTGTCAGACTTCATGACCGATTTTACACCGGCCCTAATTTTCGAGATCAATAAAGAATTATTACTTGCCTTGGGGACTAGCTCAAGGGTCTGGACTCTATTCTCGAACGGTGCCTCCAACATTAAAGGGTCCGGGTCGGGTATTGTGCTAAAACCCCCCATTGGTAACATAATAAGGCAATCAATTAGGACTGTGAAATTGACTAACAATGAAGCCAAGTATGAGTCCACGATTGCAGGTCTAGAATTGGCTAAAAACTTGGGGGCTGAGGTTATTAAAGCCAAATGCGATTCCCTCCTCGTTATTAACTAGGTCAACAAAACATTAAAAGTTAAAGAATACCGGATGCAGAGGTACTTGGATAAATTACAAATAATGTTGCATCGGTTCAAAGAATGGATGCTACAACATCTACCTCGAGATCAAAACAGTGAGGCCGATGCATTAGCTAATTTAGGGTCGTTAGTGGACTCCGAAGAATATAACTCGGGAATGGTGGTGCAATTGCTGAGCTCAGTAATAGAGGCCGTTCATGCCAAGGTACACTTGATAAGTTTGATTTAAGATTGGCGAAACAAATATGTGGATTAACTTCAGGAGGGAAAGCTGCCATCGAATCCTAAAGAATAGAGGGTCCTTCAAACTAAAGATGCCAGGTTTTGCTTGACCAAAGACCAACTGTACCGAATGTCGTTTTTTGGACATTTAGCAAGATGTTTAGGGCATGGGGATACTGATTACATGATGAGGGAAGTCCACGAGGGGACTTGCAAAAATCACTTGGACGCGAAATCGTTGGTCCAAAAATTGATCAGGGTCGTGTATTACTGGAAAGAAATGGAGAAAAATGCAAAGACTTCATTCAAGCTGGGAGAGTTGCTTCACCCTATCATTTTCCCTTGGCCATTCA